GGTGTGTCTCCTCAGATGCTGGCACTATTTTAGGAGCTTGCGTTGATCCCATTTTTGGGGCACGTGGGCTGTGACAAGCTCTAGGACGGACCCCGCTTGAGTAATGTCAGCCACAGATGCCGGGACACTACTTCCCGTCCCCCCCGCCCCCCCGCAGCTTAGAGCCTTGCATTTCTAGACATGGGCACAGACTCTTGTCCTCCCTGAGGGCTGGTTCATGGGCTTGGGGGGTCCGCTCCAGCTGCCTTCACCCAGCTCTGCACCCCACCTTGGATGACACTCTGCCCCCACCCGCAGAAGTAAGAAGTAAGTGGCTCCCAGAGCAGGAGGCTGACCTGAAATAGCTCTGAGGACTGCAAGGCTTAGGGAGCCATCCTTTCCTGGGGACTCTGGCACCAGGCACTGGGGTCTCCCCTCTGAGGGCGCAGTGTCATGAAACCCAATTTAACTGCCTGTGCTCATTACGGACCCTGAGACACAAGGAGAAGCCATGGAAGATATAATCCCAGCCATCCCTTCATCAATACCCATGTCAGTTTGCTCAGTTGTACAGTAGGGCACAGAGAGGTTAAGTAACCTGCCCAAGGTCACACAGCCCATAAGGGGAGGAGCTGGAACTTGTACCCAGGCAGGACTCGAGTCTATGATGTTAATTGGTGTGAGACTTGCTATAGCTCACGGAGAGCACACTGCTGAATATTTATGTGCACGTGTACATTTAAAATATAAATATGAGGGCCGGCCCATGGCTCACTTGGGAGAGTGTGGTGCTGATAACACCAAGGCCACGGGTTCAGATCCCTATATAGGGATGGCTGGTTAGCTCATTTGGGAGAGCGTGGTGTTGACAACACCAAGTCAAGGGTTAAGATCCCTTTATCAGTCATCTTAAAAAAAAAAAAAAAAATATATATATATATAAAATAAGCTCCTTATTCAAACTACTCACATATTTGTATTATATAAAAATTAATAGATTTATATATGTACATTTGTATAACAGTATGTATTTATACATATGATACATATTTATGTACATGCTATCTATATTTATGAAATTATAGTATGCTATATATAAACATAATGTATTTACATTTAGTACAAGGGTACTTCAAAAAGTTCATGGATAGGGGCCGGCCCGGTGGCGCACTGGATAGTGCGCCGTTTGGGAAGCGCAGTGGCGCTCCCGTCCGAGGGTTTGGATCCCACATACAGACCGGTTCCTGCTCACTGGCTGAGCGAGGCGCGGGAGCAACGCTAAGGGTTGCGATCCCGTTGCCGGTCACGGAAAAAGACAAAAGACAAAAAAAAAAAAAAAAAAAGTTCATGGATATAACACCAAAGTCAAGGGTTCTGATCACCATACCAGCCAAATGCCAAAAACAAAAACAAAATCAAAAGTTCATGGAATGATTCGTATCATCTCTCAATTCTATTTTTCCACAAACTTTTTGAACTACACTTTTATATAAAGATGTATACACACTCTATATAAAATGCATATATTTATATAATCATATATTTACATATTTATATACATAGTATAATTAAATATTAAGTATACTATATGTATAAATGCAGGAATATGTGTATGTGTGTATATATACTTAACACACATGCATATACATATTTGTATATGTATTAACACACATGCATATACATATTTGTATATGTATGTGTGTATGTGTAAATACATATATGTGTGCATATATATAAAAACATAAATATGTAGAGAGAGAAAGGCACTTTTTAAAAAAAACAGCTTTATTGAGATATAATTCATGTAGGATATAGTTCATTCATTTGAAGTGTACAATTCATAGACTGAGTTCTACAAAGGGGTAAGAACAATACAGTGTACAATTCAGTGGCTTTCAGTATATTTATGGCATTATGCAACCATCACCACAGTTAGTTTTAGAACATTCTCATTATCCCCCAAAGAAGCTCCACACCCTTAGCCCTCATCCCTCAATTCCCCACATCTCCACCCCTCGAACCCCAGCAACCACTAGTCTACTTTCTGTCTCTCTATATTTATCTGTTCTGGACATTTCATATAAACGGAATCATACAATATGTGACCTTTGTCACTGGCTTCTTTCACTGAGTGTAATGTTTCCAAGGCTCATTCAGGTTGTAGTGTGTATCGGTACTTCATTCCTTTTTATTACAGAGTAATATCCCATTGTATGGATAGAACACTATTTATCCAGTCATCAGTCAATGGACATTTGGGTAGTTTCCACTTTTTGGCTATATGAATAATAATAATAATAATGATATATGAATAGTTGTGTACAAGTTTCTGTGTGGACGTACGTTTTCATTTCTCTTGGGTATTTACCCAGAAGAGGAATTGCTGGGTCATATGGTAGTTCTATGTTTAACCATTTGAGGAACTGCCAGTCTGTTTTCCAAAGCAGCAGCACCATTATATATTCTTATGGCAAGGTACAGGAGTTCTAGTTTCTCCATATGTTCTCCAGCACTTGCTATCACCTGTCTTTTTCATTATAGCCGTACTAGTGAGTGTGAAGTGGCATTTCATTGTGGTTTTGATTTTCGTTTCCCTAATGACTAATGATGTAGTCATGTGCTTGTTGGCCATTGGTGGGGAGTTTATCTTCTTTGGAGAAATGTTTATTCAGATCCTCTGCCCACTTAAAAACTGGATTATGTATCTCCTTACTACTGAATTCTAATAATTTCTTATATATTCTAGATAAAAGTCCCCTATTATATACATAGTTTGCAAAAGTTTTCTCCCATTTTCTGGGTTACCTTTTCACTTTCTTGATAGTGTCCTTTGAAGCACAAAATTTGAAATTCTGATGATGTCCACTTTATTATTTTTTTTCGTTGATTGTACTTTTGGTGTCATACCTAAGAAACCATTGCCTAATCCAAAGTCATAAAGTTTACTCCTTTGTTTTCTTCCAAGAGTTTTATAGTTTTACCTCTTATATCCAGATCTTTGTTTCATTTTGAGTTAATTTTTGTATATAGTGTGAGGTTGAAGTTCAATTTCATTCTTCTGCATTTTGGTTATCCAGCACCATTTGTGAAAAGACTGTTTTCCCCACTGAATTTTCTTGATACCCTTGTCAAAAATCAATTGACTCTACTTCTTCATTTCAATCCTGTAAAAACAAACAAACAAACAAACAAAAACAACAACAACAAAAAACACCCATTGACTGTAAATGTGAGGGTTTATTTTTGGACTCTCAATTCAATCCCACTGAGCTACAAGTCTGTCCTACGCCAGTACCAGGCTGTTTTGATTACCTTGGCCTCGTAGTAGGTTTTGAAATCAGGAAGTATGAATCTTCCAATTTTGTTCTTTTTCAAGATTGTTAAATGAAAAACTTTTAGACAAATTAAATTTAACAGAGTTTAATTTAAGCAAAGAACAATTCCGGAATAGGGCAGCTTCCAGAATCAGAACAGATTCAGAACAACTCCGCCACTGCCACGTGGTTGGTTAAGATTTACCGACAGAAAATGGAAGGGATGTACAGAACACAGCAGCAAGGTACAGGACAGCCGGATGCTTGTAACTGGCTGAGATTCAGCTACTTGTTACAAGAGTAGGTTACCATCTGTTTGCACATCAAGTTAGATTACAGTTCCCTATGTCTAAAGAAACCTTTAGGCCAGACCTAATTTAAGAATTGTTTTGGCTATCCTTGGTCCCTTGCATTTCAATACAAGTTTTAGGATCAGTTTGTCAACTTCTGTAAACAAGTTAGCTAGGACTTGAATACATTTCATTGAATCTGTACATCAATTTGGGGAATACTGCATCTTAATGTTAAGTCTTCTGATCCACGAACATGGAATGTCTGGGATGTCTTTCCATTTACTTAGGTCTTCTTTAATTAAATGTTTAATTTAATTTTAATCTTTCAGTGATGTTTCGTGGTTTTCAGAATATGTTTTGCATTTTTTTTCCCCCCTTTTTTCGTGTCCGGCAACGGATCGCAACCCTCAGTGTCGCGCCCGTACCGGACCGGGACCGGCAACGGGATCGCAACCCTCGGTGTTGCACCCGCACCTCGCTCAGCCAGTGAGCGGGACCCGGTCTGTACGTGGGATCCGAACCCTCGGCGGGAGCGCCACCGCACTTCCAAGTGGTGCACTGTAGCAGTGCGCCACCAGGCCGGCCCAAGTTTTACATTTTTTTGTTACATGTCTTGCTAACTATTTCATTCTTTTTGATGCTATTGTAAATAGATTAAAAGATTTTTTTCATTTTTGGTTTGCTCATTGCTAATACACAGAAATACAAGTGATTTTTGTATACTGATCCTGCAGCCTCGCTGAACTAAATTACTAGCCTTACTCTGTGTGTGTGCGTATTCTTTAGGATTTCCTCTATATAAGATAATGTTGTCTGCAAGCAGAAATAGTTTTACTTCTTCCTTTCCAACCTGGATGCCTTTCGTTTCTTTTACTTGCCTAACCGCCCTGGCTAGAACTTCCAGTACAGGTTGAGTGGACTGGGGAGAGGGGACACCCTCGTCTCATTTCTGTTCCTGGCAGAAAGCAGGCAGTCTTCCACCGCAGATGTTAGCTGGGGGGTTTGGTAGCTGCTCTTCATCAGGTGAACGAAGTGTCTTCTATTCCTAGTTTGTGGAGTGTTTTATCATGAAGAAGTCGGTCAGATGCTTTTTCTGATAAATGCTTTCTTTTAAAATGTCCCAGGAGACTCCATTCTTCCTTCTGAGGGTGAAAACTCATAGGTGGAGGCAAACCTTTACTTGCTAAATCATTGCTCAGGCATTTCTGTATCACTGTTTGGAAAAGGTGCTAAAAAAGATGGTATTGTCTGCAGTCGTCACTGCTCCTAACGTGGCCGGGGGCGCTGTTCTCTGCTCTCGGCACCGTCTCAAAACGGAGACAACAGCCCTGCAAGGGCGGGAGGAGGTGGGGCCGGGGGGCGGGCCCCTCCTGCCAGCCCCACGCCTGGGCGCTCACTGTCGCCGTGCCCTCAGGCCTACGAGAAGCGCTTCCCCACCTGCCCGCAGATCCCGGTCTTCCTGGGCAGCGAGGTCCTGCGCGAGTCCCGGAGCCCCGACGGGGCGCTGCACGTGGTGGAGCGCAGCTGCCGGCTGCGGGTTGACGGGGTGATCGGACGGCTCTCCGGACACCCCCGCCCTGTGTCCTTCACGCCCCGGCTGTCCTCCCCTCGCAGATCGCGGGCGTGGAGCACGTGGTCTTCGTGCAGAGAAACGTTCTGAACTGGAAGGAGAGGACGCTCCTCATCGAAGCGCACAACGAGACCTTCGCCAGCCGCGTGGCGGTCAAGGAGACCTGCAGCTACACCGTGAGCGCGACCGCCCCGGCGAACCCCCGGTTCCCGCCCCTCCCTGCGCCCCTCCAGTGCCTGGGCGGATAAGATGCAGGATGCCTGGCTGCATTTGCAGTTAGACAGACAACCGAGGAATTTCTTTTCTAGTATATCTCAAATAATTGCCTGGGATATACTTATACTTGAAGGTTATTCGTTGTTTATCTGAAATTCAAATGTGTATGGGCAACCTGTATTTTATAGTCTAAATCTGGAAGCCCTATCCCCTATCCCTCCCTCCCTCCTTCCTTCCCTCTCTCCCTCCTTTCCTCCCTCCTGTCTCCCCTTCCTTTCCTTCTTTCATGAAACTGTGCCTCAGTTTCCTCATCTGTAAAATGGGGTTCATAATCGTGCCTACCACATAGGTTGTGGTGAGGATTAAATGAAGGAAAATATACTATTCAAACCCCTTAGATCAGTGCCCTGCACATACTAAGTTCTCTATAAGGGTTACTTTTTAGTATGATTGATAATGATTATTATTCTCTAGTACATACTGATGAACCCCCTACTATGAGTCAGGCACCCTGCCAAGTGCTGGGCACCCAGCAGGGGACCAATCTACCTGACCACTGCCCTCCTGGAGTTTCCGTTCGAGGTGGAGTCACAGACGAGAAAAACACAAATCAATGTACATTTATTTGTCACCGTGCTAGGGTGGGATCCAGCAGATAGGATTACAGGAGCAAGAGGAGGGGTACTTTCCTGGGTCACGGTGTCCCTCAGGCCTCTCAGGAGGGGCTGCTGATGCTGAGAGCTGAAGGATGAGAGGAGCTGGAACAGAGTTCTGGGGGTGGGAACAGCATAAGCGAAGACCCCAAAGGGATGAGCGAGGTCTGATGGGGGAGGCCTCGGGGGCTGGAGTGCAGGGGCTGGAGTGCAGGGGCTGGAGGGCCCCCTGGATGGAGCCCAGCTCTGCCACTTTCTCACTGAGTGATGCTAGACTAGTGGCTTCCCCTCTCTGGGCCACACCGTCCATTTCTACGCAATGGGATGTTAGCAGATCCTACTGTGTTGGGTAGTTTCTCTGACATTAACTCCAGCGTGGCAATTACAGACCACTGGGAGTGTTTTTGAGGTGTTTTTGCCCAGTCTCCCCCATTAAGGGACTTTGTCTCGTTCATCTTTCAGGCCCAGGCACTTAGCATGATGCCTTGTATACAGCAGACATCAAGTAAATGCCCATTGCTTTTTCCTTACATGCCTCCAGCTCCTCTTGAGGCCTCCTGCAAACTGGGCCCAGGATATTCAGATCCTCTGGGGAGGTGTGAGCAGTGGTTGTTTTTAAATCTCTTGGGACATGGTGTTTCTCAGGGCAAGTTCTGCCAACAGCAGAATTGGCAGCACCAAGGCTGCCTGTAGAATGCAGATTCCTCGGCCTCACCCTGGACCTGCCCAGCCAGAAGTGTCTAGGGGCAGGCCCGGGAATCTGCATATGTAACAGACTCCCTGGTTACGACTCTGCCCACAGATGTCTGAGGAGCACTAAGTCTGGATATGCACAGTAGCTCTGCCAACAAAAGAGATTTTTTGCTGACATACATATAAATATTTATTGATTTATGAGGATGTGTAATATATCTTTTTATGAAATATATAACATTTGGTACATAGCTATTTTAAAAATATATAAAGTTTATTTGTAATATTGACATATAATTTATATATTATGTAATGATATACTGCACATGTTATGTATATATAATTTTCCATGTGTGCATATCATTTTCAAGGGGCAGGGGTGTAGAATCAGACCCACATTCTCCCGGCCCCTCAAGATAAAGCTCTTTGTTCCCCAACAGCATAGACTTTACATTGTTCCCTGAGTTGGGGGGCCCCCTCGGTCCTGCTGCCCCCTCTGGTGTCACCAGGCTATGACATGCTGACCACTGCATGCTCTACCTGGGTCCAGGTCCCTAGGAGAGCCGCCGGGAGGGCACAGCATACCCTACAGTGAGACCCTGGTGTCACCCCTGCCTGGCTTTCAGGTCCACCCTGAGAACGAAGACTGGACATGCTTTGAGCAGTCCGCCTCGCTGGACATCCGGTCTTTCTTTGGCTTTGAAAATACCTTGGAGAAGATTGCCATGAAGCAGTACACCGCCAGTGTCAAGCGGGTAGGAGGCGGGCTGCTCAGCCATGGGGAGGAAGGCACACAGACACGCGCTGCCACCTGAAAACCCGTGTGACGTTGCACAAGCTCCTTAACCCTCTGGGCCGTGGTCTTCTTGTCTGTGAAATGGGTATTCTAGTAACAATTATATCACATGAGATAATGGATGGAAAGTACCTGCCCTGTAATGGGGGCACCCCGATCATTGTCCTGGCACCCCGAGATGTTGGGGGCTTGCATAGTGAATTCTCTGGACAGAGGAAGGACATTCTGTGGTGCTTTTTCCTGATACAAATGATCACGGCTTGGACTAAAAACCTCAGACCCGTCATTGAGTCGAGGCTTGTTTGTGGAATGAAACAGACAAATTGATTTTTATAACATATTTTATGCAATGTGTTATCAGTATAAAACTTTTATTTACTGAGCCATTTTAGATTCTTTGTTTTGTACTAAGTCTTGGAAGTCCAATGCAGATTTGACGCTCACAGCCACCTCTATTTGGACTGGAGGCTGGCAGGGGCAACTCCCCAGCTGGTGCAATGACCTCCACCACCCTGTGCCTGTGCTGAAGTGTCTTGGGTCTCTCTGGTTTCCAGGGGAAAGAGGTGATCGAACATTACCTGAACGAGCTCATCTCCCAGGGCACCTCTCACATTCCCCGCTGGACACCTGCCCCGGTCTGCGAGGATGACGTCAGCAGCCAGGGTGGGCTGCGGGACCCTGGCTCCCTGGAGGCCGACAGGCCCAGCAGCATCCAAAGCCCTGCTCTGGAGACGATCACTACAGACGGTAGGTCACTGCAGCCTAGGTCAGACAGCAAGTCTGCACCCTCGGGGCCCCCATAGTCCTAGGAAACCTGTTGCAGGTTTGCTTGTCCCCTTTGGGTCTTGGAATGGCTCAGTCTGGGTCTTGGAATGGCTCAGTCTCCTCCCTCTGCTGGCTGCTCCAACCTCTCTCCATTCTGGCCCAAGAGCCAGAAGTGGTTTATTTCTAGAGCAGTATTGATTTCTGGTGCCACAGGACTGCCTTTTTCTCTGGTTTTGTTAGTATTTTAAATTAGATGAGTAATGCATGATCTTGGCAGAAAAAAATTCAGACTACTTGGAAGATAAAAAGTAAGAAATAAGATTTCTTTCCTCTCCCTAGAGACTGTAGTAGTTTTGTGTTTATATTTCCTGGAGCTATCTAGGCTTATGTGTATACATAAATAATATGTTTATATACACATGCATGTGCATATGTGCATACATACATGTGTGACATGTTGAACAAATGGGAGCATATTATACATTCTTTTTTTTTTTTTTCCTTTTTGTCTTTTTTACTGACCGGTAACGGGATCGCAACCCTCGGTGTCGCGCCCATACCGGGGACCGGCAACGGGATTGCAACCCTCGGTGTTGCGCCCGCACCATGCTCAGCCAGTGAGTGGGAACCGGTCTCCACATGGGATCCGAACCCTCGGCGGGAGCGACGCCGCACTCCCAAGCGGCGCACTATCCAGTGCGCCACCGGGCCGGCCCTATACATTCTATTTAATACTTTGCTTTTTTCCCACTTACCAATGTTGTTTGAACAATTTTTTTCAATACTTCATGGTATGGCATGGTTGTACTATAACTTATTTATTAATAAACATTTATTTATTATTTATTGATTATTTTTAGTGTAGCTAGTCACATATTGATGGATATTTAGGTTTCAGGTTTTTTTAATACAAATAATGTGGTACATTTTTGTATTTAAGGATTTATGAAGAAATTTGTGTGAGTATATACACAGCATAAATTATTTTTTTAGATTACACATTTTATTTATTTATTTAATATTATTGTTTTACATTCTTTGATGTTGTTGCAGAGCAGTTGGGAGGGAAGGGAAGAGGAGAAAGGGGAAGGAAATGGGATGGAAGAAGGAGGAAGGAGGAGGAGCAGGATTGAGGCCTGTGACATCCCCTTCCTTGCCACAGGGGAGACCAGGGGGCTTCCAGTGTTGGCTTGGTCATTGCCAAGCTGGGTGCAGATGTCAGAAGGGTGTGGCAAAAGCCCTCACTTCCCACCACCCCAGTCAGGAACCTGGGGCACTTCCTGCGGCAGTTCAGTGGTCCTCACTGGGCTAGTTTTACGTGTCGAGGGGCATGTCCGAGGCCCGAGGCCCCCCACCACCCTGGCTTGGGAGAGCTCAGGGTGCTTCCTACGGTGGCTCACATCATAAAATTTTAAAAGTGAAATTGTTGGGCTGAAGTTTATGTGCAACTCAAATTTCAGTACATTTATGAATCAGGCCTCTGAAGAGGCTGTACCAATCAATGTTCCCACTGAAAGTGTGTAACTGTGTCTATTTCTGACTTCACCCTGGCTTCACACAAGACTCGTGTTAAACATTTCAAACTTCTGAAAGGCAGTAAGGGTGATCACTGGTACATCAGTGATCAATTTTTTCATTGAGTGAGGTCAAGCACTACATTATTTTTTTCATGTTTAGTTACTGTTTGTGTTCTTTTTTTGGTGAATCCCTGTTCTTCATTCATTTTCCTATTTGCCCATCAATTTCTTCTTGGCTTTTAGGAACTCTTTGTATATTAAGGCGATTTGCCATTTGTCTCAGCTTAGACTTCTGTTGACATGGAAAATGTTTACAATATGATGTAAAAGGAGAAAAAAACCTAGGATACAAAACTGTATATACACCATGAATCCAGTTTTAACCATGTGCACGGCATGGGCTCATATTGATTCTGAGTTTCTTTAGGGCCGTTGAAGTGTAGGGGCTTGCCTGACTCTGAGATACTTGGGTGACAGAGCCATGGGACTAATAGTACATCTGGGGCTGTAGGGAGGATGAAATTCATTCATGCAACAAGTATTTATTCTGCACCAGCTGTGTGCACTGTCTGGCTGTCATTGAACGTGCATTTTTTTTTTTCCCTCTCTTGCTCCTTCCCATGTATGCTCTCTGGGGTGTCATCCCCTGGGCCCTCCCCATTTTGTACAGGTCTTTCCTCCCTTTTCAGTCTGTGTTGTCCACCAGCAATGCTGACATTTAGGGTGGCCGGCAGGAGGCGTACTCATGCCGCTTCCACCCTGTTCTGAATCACTGAGCCTTTGTGTTTAGAAGTAGAAAAGAGCCTTCACATCTGCCTGGAAGCCAGAAGGATGCCAGGAGCTCCTGCCTCCCTCGTGTTTTCTCCCCTGTCCGGTCCCCGCCACCTTCCCATCTCCAGTGTCTCTCTGTCTCTGACCTCATGAGGTGTTGCATGGTCTGGACGGTCCCTCCCAAGCATCCCTCCTGCCTCTGTTTACTTAGATGCCTCCTTGCACAGTCGGCATGCCCCCCAGCCCCAGCTTTTCTGTTTTTGGGGGTGGACCTGTTAGTGCTGCTGCTGGACGTGCAGGTATCCAGTCTGTTTTCTTATGGAGCCATGTGTCCACAAGAATCGGCTGTGGCCCTGGGGGCTGCTGCTTTGTGTAACATCTCCACTGCTGCTGAGATGCCAAGAGGCTGCGGCATGCCAGCATCTGCCACACCAATGGTTAAGAGTTGGGTGACAGGACTCAAGTTGGGGCCTGGCCTCTACATACTAGCAACGTGCTGACCCCAGAATGCCCAATTGTGTGGGACAAGGTTGCACAGTGAGAATGATCGTGTGGCTCCCAGGCCCTTGAACAGATGGCATGGCTCTGTTTCAGGGTTCAGGCTTTGTCTACCAAAAGCCTCACACCTTGCAAAGTGGCTTGGGGAGGTGGGAAAGTGAAGGGAACTGGAATTTATCAACCAACTAATTTATGTTGTGCACGCTACCTGCATTTACTCACTTGAGTTACTCACCCTGTGTTGGCCTCAGTTTTATCTTCTATAGTGGGGATAATAGTGATGCCCATCTCACAGGGGTGTTGGGAGAACTCGCTGAGACCAGGCATGTCCTGAGCATGCAGAATGTGAGCACATATTGTCAGTCATCTTCAGAACAGCTCCAGAGGGTGGGAATTCTTTGCATTTCTGAGGTTCAAAGAGGAGAAACCACATCCATCCCCCAGTGAGATCCAGGTTTGAATTTTCAGAACCACCTTGGAAATGGGTTGGAAAATGAATGAATTTGGGGACTGTTGTCTGGGGAGGGGGCTGCAGCCTGGCTGGGAATCATGTTTCAGGCAGCTGGTAAGAAAGGCAAGGGCTACAGAAAGGGCAGACCACATGGTCGGCCCCTCTCTCTTGTCCTAACACCTGCTTTCTTCTCCAAGGAGACAAGCTGGATGTGGACTACATTGAGAGGTGCCTGGGCCATCTCACACCCATGCAGGAGAGCTGCCTCATCCAGCTTCGGCACTGGTTACTGGAGAACCACAGAGGCAAGGTGGGTACTGGGTGGGCCCCCTGGAGTAGCAGATGCACCTCCAAGGACAGATACTCAGCCTTACGCACAGGAGGAAGAAAGGCAAGATAAACAAGTTTATGTAATTAGCAATATTGAAAAGTTCTATTTTGCTTTTTTTTTTATTATATATTGTCTCCTGTATCCATGATGTGTGCTGTGCACACCACTGAGAGCAGGGTTTCTCCTCTTTGGCATTATTGTCATTTGGGACTGGACAGTTCTTTATGGTGGGGACCGTCCTGTGCATTGTAGGGTGTTTAATAGCATCCCTGACCTCCACCACTAGATGCCAGTAGCCCTCCCCCTTCCCCCAGTTGTGACAAATAAAAATATTTCTGGCATTGCCAAATGTCCACTGTGGGGCACAATTGAGAATACCTGCTGTATAGTAGCATGTTCATGAAACCATGTATACTGTTCTTTTCTAAGAGATCTAATGACTTTGTGAGGGCAGGTTTTGACTGCACGTGATTGTGCATTTAGACACTAACTCCTGTAACATGGTTGTATATACCATGCATGTAGGTCCTGAGTGTGGACTTTATCTTTAGCTCTGATGAGTCAGAACTTCTTGCTTAGTCATGCATTGCTTGCCCTTCCTTCCCCCCACACCTAGGGGCAGATGAGGGAGTTACTTTAGTGTTGGGCTGTGCTTTAACCTGCCTGCTCCTATTTCTTCATCTGTAAAATGGGGATAATGTTAGTATACACCTACCTCCCAGAGTGAATTACAGTGGGTAATACATTTCAGGTGTTTAGAATGGTTTCTGGCTTGAAGTGAGCACTCAAGGAAGGGCAGCTCTTATTGGGGCTTGTTTTGCATGATTGGTGCATTGGGGAGTAGTTCCCCAAAAGAAAGACGCTATTACCAGCACAAGGAAGGAGGAATGGTAGACAGCCAAGATGCATAGATATTCGCTACAGTCCACCCCTTGGCTGTCTCTCTGCTTTATGGTTGATGGAGAATATGGTCCTTTTCCCAGCTAAATGTTTTGCAGATGAGATAGGAAGCTCATTTTCTAGAATTTTATTAGCTGGGTTAGAGAATAGCATTCTATGGGCTTTTTCTTTCTTTGTCTCTCAGATTCCCAAAGATGAGCACATCCTTCGGTTCCTGCGGGCTTGTGACTTCCACCTGGACAAGGCCCGGGAAATGCTGTGCCAGTCCTTGAGCTGGCGGAAGCAGTACCAGGTGGATCTCCTCCTTCAGACCTGGCAACCCCCTGCCGTCTTGGAGGAGTTCTATGCAGGGGGCTGGCATTACCAGGACATAGGTGTGTGCCTGTACCTACATATAGTATGGAGCATAATTTGGTCACTGCCAAATGCACTATATTATTTAATTAAGTAATTAATTAATTTTTGGTGGCTGGCCAGTATAGGGATCAAACCCTGGACCTTGGTGTTAGCACCATCCTCTAACCAACTGAGCTAACCTGCCAGTCCCAAAGTCACTTTAAATGACACACTTTGTGCTAACATATTATTTTTCCTTCGACTATTTCGAGCATCTGGAGATGCCTTTGAAGTGACAACCTAGCTATGAAGAAGGTAGAGCTGGATAGACTTCTGGGCTTGAAGAGAGAAAGTTCTTTTCTGAGCTGGGTCAGCCCACCATTACTTTGGGTCATTGTAATTGTATACATAATGACCCCATAAATAATGTATACATTCCCTATGGCAACCATAACAAATGACTACAAACTTGGTGGCTTAAAACAACAGAGTTATTTTTTCACAGTGTCTGCAGGGCCATGCTCCTACCGAAGTCTCCAGGGGAAAGCCTTGCCTTTTCCAGCTCCTGGGGGCCCCAGGTGTTCCTTGTTGTGGCAAGGAAATTGCTCCAGTCTCTACCTCCAGCTCCACATGGCCTTCTTCTCTGTGTAGCTCTGTGTCCTCTCCTCTTCTTATAAGGACCTCAGGTTATTGCATTTGGGCCCACCCTAAATCTAGCATGATTTTGTTTTGAGATTTTTAACTACTTACATCTACAAAGACTGTATTTCCAAGTAAGGTCACATTTTGAAGATACAGTGGAAATGAATTTTGGGAGGACACTATTCCACCCACTACAGATATCTTTTCTGGATTTTTTAATTAAACTGCTATTGAAGCCAATGCCTATTGTGCTTTTCAATGTGCTTTATATAAAAATTCACATATGTTGGTTGGGGTAAATGTTTGACTCTCCTGAAGTTGGCACGGTTTCTTTTAAGACATATCCGATCCTCAGTATTTATGGATTCCATATTTGTGAATTTGCCTACTTGCTAAAATTTATTTGTAAACCCCAAATCAACACTCAGTGGCACTTCCAAGGTTATTCTTGGATGTGTGCAGAATGGGGAATAATTTGAGTGGTTCAACATACATGTTCCCTGCTGAGGTTGAACGAGGGGACTCTCTGATGTCTTGTTTCAGCTCCTGAGCTATAAACAGGTATCCTTTCTGTGGCCTAGTTAGTGCCGCATTTTGCATTTTTGTGCTTTTTGTTGGTGATTTTGCTATTTAAAATGGCCCCCAGGCATAGTACTGAAGTGCTGTTTAATATTCCTAAGCGCAAGAAAGCTGTGATGCACTTTACAGAGAAAATACTTGTGCTCCATGAGCTTTGTTTGGGCATGAGCTCAATGTTGCGAAATCAACAATATATATTAAATAAAGTGTCCTTAAATAGAAACACACAAAACAAGGTCATGTATGGATCACTTGATGAAAATGTATGACTAGAGGCTCCCAGGAACCTAATACCATATTTCCTAGAAGCAGTGATTCAGTATGTGCTAATTCAGTGTTCGCGGAGACTTTATAGGACATAATTATCGTGGATAACGAGAACTGACTATTAGTAAATAACTCTTCATGTTTCCTTTTTGCTTCGGCTGACAGAAAGCTAAGAGCTAAATTCTGTCTGCTTTGTCTTTCTTACATGGCTCATATCCTCTTAAAAATCTTTTAAAAATAAAAGGCCAGTTAGCTCAGTTGGTTAGAGCGTGATGTTATAACATCAAGGTTAAGGGTTTGGATCCCTGTACCTGCCAGCTGCCTGCACCAAAAAATATAATTTTTTAAGATAAATGATTTATTCTAGAACAGTTTTATTTATTTATTTAAAAAGATGACCGGTAAGGGGATCTTAACCCTTGACTTGGTGTTGTCAGCACCACGCTCAGCCAGTGAGCAAACCGGCCATCCCTATATGGGATCCGAACCCGTGGCCTTGGTGTTATCAGCACCGCACTCTCCCGAGTGAGCCGCGGGCCGGTCCTAGAACAGTTTTAGATGGACAGAAGAGTTGCCAAGATCAGGAGGTTCCCATGTCCCTCACCCGTTTCCCCTGTGTGCATATCCTTATCTGAACACTTCTGTTGTTGCTGCCTTTGGCGACAGTGGTGTCACCCCTCGTGGGAGCAAGCAGTGTGTTAGCAGGTGAATGGAGGGGCTGGGCTGTGGTGAGCCACGCCTGCTGTCTCCTCCGTCTGCAGCTTTGACCTGCCCTTGAATAACGGTCCCTTCTCTTTGCTTGGCCCCGGTCCAAAGACGGCCGCCCCCTCTACATCCTTCGCTTGGGCCAGATGGACACCAAAGGCTTGATGAAGGCCGTGGGGGAGGAGGCACTGCTGCGGCACGTGAGTCACGGTCCCCATTTTCTGGAACCCCTGGGGCTGGGGGCTGGGCCTGAGAAGGGCCACCTGCAGGTGAACATTGGCCAGCCCTGTCTCTACCTTCCAGGTTCTTTCCGTTAACGAGGAAGGACAGAAGCGATGTGAAGGGAACACAAAACAGTTTGGCCGTCCCATCAGGCAAGAACCTGCGTGGGGAGCCAACTCCCCCAAACAGTAGACAGCGAGCGTTTATCACACATGTGCATGGTGTCCCATGGCATTTCGGGGGCTTTACCACCACGTCCTCACCTAATCCTTCTGAGGCAGGGACTGTAATCGTCTCCTAGGGTTTCTTAATAATGGATTATCAAAAAAGAAAAAAAAAAAAACCCAAAAAAACTTAAAAAAATAATGCAAACATGGGGCTGGCCAGATAGCTCAGTTGATTATAGTGCAGGTATTAGAACACCAAGGTCAAGTGTTCGGATCCCATACTGGCCAGCTGCCAAAAAAAACCTCCAAAACAAAAACATGTAGACAGCACTTACTAGGTGGTACCAGGTAGCAGCCTATTTCATTTCTTTTAAATATCAGCTTATTGAGATAAAAAACCCCCAAAACAAAAACATGTAGACAGCACTTACTAGGTGGTACCAGGTAGCAGCCTATTTCATTTCTTTTAAATATCAGCTTATTGAGATAAAAAACCCCCAAAACAAAAACATGTAGACAGCACTTACTAGGTGGTACCAGGTAGCAGCCTATTTCATTTCTTTTAAATATCAGCTTATTGAGATAAAAAACCCCCAAAACAAAAACATGTAGACAGCACTTACTAGGTGGTACCAGGTAGCAGCCTATTTCATTTCTTTTAAATATCAGCTTATTGAGATAAAAAACCCCCAAAACAAAAACATGTAGACAGCACTTACTAGGTGGTACCAGGTAGCAGCCTATTTCATTTCTTTTAAATATCAGCTTATTGAGATAAAAAACCCCCAAAACAAAAACATGTAGACAGCACTTACTAGGTGGTACCAGGTAGCAGCCTATTTCATTTCTTTTAAATATCAGCTTATTGAGATAAAAAACCCCCAAAACAAAAACATGTAGACAGCACTTACTAGGTGGTACCAGGTAGCAGCCTATTTCATTTCTTTTAAATATCAGCTTATTGAGATAAAAAACCCCCAAAACAAAAACATGTAGACAGCACTTACTAGGTGGTACCAGGTAGCAGCCTATTTCATTTCTTTTAAATATCAGCTTATTGAGATAAAAAACCCCCAAAACAAAAACATGTAGACAGCACTTACTAGGTGGTACCAGGTAGCAGCCTATTTCATTTCTTTTAAATATCAGCTTATTGAGATAAAAAACCCCCAAAACAAAAACATGTAGACAGCACTTACTAGGTGGTACCAGGTAGCAGCCTATTTCATTTCTTTTAAATATCAGCTTATTGAGATAAAAAACCCCCAAAACAAAAACATGTAGACAGCACTTACTAGGTGGTACCAGGTAGCAGCCTATTTCATTTCTTTTAAATATCAGCTTATTGAGATAAAAAACCCCCAAAACAAAAACATGTAGACAGCACTTACTAGGTGGTACCAGGTAGCAGCCAGGCAGGACCTACTGCTTAAGCTTTTTGTCCCCAGATATCCTGAAAGTTCACCCTTTTAAAGTATAGAATTCAGTGGTTTTTAGTGTATTCACAGAGTTATGCAGCCATCACCACTATCTAATTCCCAGAACATTTTCATCACCCCACAAAGAAACCCCAAACTGGATCCCCATACTGGTCAGCCACCAAAAGAAAGAAACCCCTAGACCCATTAGCAGTCACTCCCCATTTCCCCTCTGCCAGCCCCTGGCAACCACTAACCTACTTCCTGTCTCTGTGGATTCCATTTCATAGAAATGGAATCATACGATATGTGGCCTTTCACTTAGCATAATGTTTTCAAGGTTGATCCATGTTTTAGCATGTATTGGTCCTTCATTCCTTTTTATGGCCGAATAACATGCCATCATGTGGATAGACCACATTTTGTGCATCCGTGGCTGTTTCTTTGATGTGAGAATCACTCAGAATGTACAGCATTTTTGGGACTCCCATGAGCTGGTTCCAAGGAGTGCTGGGACCCTGTGCTGTAGGGATTCTAAAACTTTTTGCCCATGACCCACAGAAAGAAATATGTTTTATGTGGCAGCCCGGCATACACACCCATGCACGTGCATGTGCATGTGTGCTCGCACGTGCACGCACACACACACGCGCACGCGCACACACACACATGCCTGAGACAAGATCTGTGAGGTGATGTCACCTTGGCTGTTTGCACCACTGTCTTTACTGTCTTCTTTTATCTCGTTCCATTAAAGGTTGGCTAGTCATGATGTGCTCAGTAGATTTCACAGCCCACTGACAGGTTGTCACTTGCAGTTGAGAGCCCTGCCCTGTGACGTTGCTGCTGAAGTGTGGCCAGGGCAGTGCATCTCACGTCCCCCCGGTCCTACAGACTCAGAGTTGCATCTTACACATTGCTCTGGGGGATGCTGTAAGTAAAGGACAGAGAAAGTTGGAATTGAAAGTTAAATGTAGCCAATCAATGTTTTACTGAGCGCCTACAATGTGCCAGGCACCTTTCTAGGCCCTGCAGATTCAGAGTGAACATGCCAGCCTCTGGGTCTCCCCCACTGCCATGCTGGGGGAGAGAAATCAGTCAGATACCCCACAAGTAAATGCAGCATGATTCTATGTGCCAAGGGCCTGAGGTCGTCATGAAGGCTGTCAAAGAGACTATGTTAGTCTGTTTTTGTGTTGCCGTAAAATACCTGAGACTGGGTAATTTATAAGGAACCGAGGTTTATTTGGCTTATAATTCTGGGACCGCTGCATCTGGCACGGGCCTCAGGCTGTGTCTACTCATGGCAGAAAGTGGCAGGCAGCCAGTGGGTATGAGCAGATCACATGGTGAGAGGAGGCGAGAGAGAGAGAGAGAGAGAGAGAGAGAGAGAGAGAGAGAGAGAGAGAGAGAGACACTCTCCCCTTCTTTTAAAGCCCTTAGAACCACGCCCCTGACCACCATTTTTAATCCATTCACTACTGCACGGTCCTACAATCCAATCACCTTTTCAAGGCTCCACCTTTCAATTACCATGATAGGATTTCCTACCCTCTTAACAGTCTACAGTGGGGGCCAACTCTCTAATACATAAGACTTGGGGGATACAATTCAATGCCCAGTGAATTTTGGGGGACATAATTCGATCCACTACAGAGACTGAGATGGGGTGACATGGGGACATATTTAGACTGGGCAATCGAGGAAGGCCCCTGGAGGAGGTGACACATGGCTGAAACCTAAGGAGTAGGGGTCATCCAGGCAAGGGCAGGAGGAGGATGTGGAAGGCCAATGGCACAGCGTGGGCAAAGGCTTGATGTTTTGGGGGAATTGGAAAAACAGTCCAGGGTGGCTGGAGCAAAAAGGAGCAAAGGAACGATGGCATCGGGAGAGGCTGGGGAGGTGTGCAGGGGCCAGCACCTGCAGAGTCCGGCCTGTGGTGACGATGGGACCTTGTCCTCTGGCAGTAGGGGAGGGCGTGAGCATACTTGAGGGGCAGAAGGTTCTCTGTGGGCTTCTGTGGGTGCTTCAAGGTTCTGTTTGGGCCAGGCTGGGGAACAGGAGCTGCTTCTGAAGCTTTTTCTCCTGAATTGTTCTAATCTCTGTGGAAATGAAGTTCATCTGCTGTTTGGAGATTTCCTAAAACATACATTGGGTGGAGGTGGGGGTGGGACTTGGGTCCTGGCCAGAAGCAGAATCCACCTGGATGGTTCAGATGAGGCTGTCAAGAGGAGCAGGGGTGTGGGCGGGGTAGGGGGACAGCAGATGGAAAGGTCCCAGTGACCAGCAGCTGCAGTAAGTCCTGACAGCCCCTGAGAGGAGGGGATGGCATTACAGGAACCTGGAGAGAGCTGGAACAGGGCTGGGGGCTGGCTTGGGAGGGGCACTGAGGCAGGGAGGGGGTGGGAAAATGGTTCCCAGCCCCTCTCTTCTCGACTCCCATCTCCTGCTGCAGCACTTCCCGATTGGCCACAGCAGATGGGAGCCAGAGGGCTGGGAGCCAGGTTGCTCACAGAGAGTGGCTGTGCACCCACCGGGTGGGGGCGGAAGGAGAGGGACCCACACAGGGGGATGTCCCAGTTCCCCAGGATCTCTTGTCTGTGGCATTCCTTGCCCAAGTGGCTTGTCCCCTGCCATGCTAAGTGCCTCTTCCCTCCCTCCCTTCCTCCCTCTCCTCCTTCCTTCCTTCCCCAACTGTTTATTGAGTCAGCTACAATGCCTTCAGAAACTGGATGACATGCAGCTTAGAGCTTCCATCTAAAAGACAGTTTCCATCTGGAATAAACAAACTGTGGTCTTTCCTGTGGAATATTATTCAGCCATCAAAAGGCATGAAGCACTGACACATGCTACAGCATGGATGCACCTTGAAGACGTTATGCCAAGTGAAAGAAGCCAGACTCAAATGCTCCGTATTGCATGATTCCCTTTACGTGAAATGTCTAGAACAGGCAAATCCAGAGAGACCGAAGGCAGATTGGTGGTGGCCAGGGGCTGGGGGAGAGGAGAAGGAATGACTGTGAAGGGGTACAAGGTTTCCTTTTGGGGTGGTGAAAAGGCTTGGAGCCAAAGGTGGTGGTTGCAGAGCATAGCAAATACACTAAAAGCCCCTGAATCGTGCACTTTAAAATGGTGAATCCCATGTTAGATGAATTACGACTCGACTAAAAAATACGTCCCGTCTCGCCTTGCCTCCCCTGTTTCAGATCAGCCCCTTCATCAACGAGAACACCCGGCGGAAGTTCCTTGTCTGTGGCGGCAGCAGTTACCAGGGCCCCGGAGGCCTTGTCGACTACCTGGATGAGGAAGTGATCCCTGACTTCCTTGGGGGACAGAGCGTGGTGAGGCGCCAGGGCCAGTCCTGGGCTTTTACCCTGCAAGGGCCCTGCTGCTGTCAGGGGACAGGGCTTGTTTTAGGAACTGTCCCCGACAGGTGACACCTCTCTGGGGTTGGGCCTTACCTTGGTTCTTTCAAATATAGTGAGAGAGAAGTTTCTGGAAACCCAAAGTCCAGGCCAGTCAAAGACTTACTCATTCTGTAATCCTATCAAAGAGGTTGCTAAGCAGCAGCAGAGTTTACCTGCTCGCTCTGAGCCCTCTGCTGCAGTGGAGGTGACTCACATGTCCCAGTGGCCCTGAACCCTGGAGCTGGTGTGTCTAAAGGGACTATCCCCAATCCACAGCCACATGACCTATGATGGTCAGGCCACTTCTTCAAAGGAGGCAGTGTCCTGATCCCTCTTATTGCCTCCTCTGGGGATGAAGTGATAGGCAGGGTGGCCCTTGGTCTGGGGGCTAAATGGTGTCATGGGAGCCACCGCCCTGCTCAGTAAAGGGTCGCTGTTATAAGCTGTTTCAGGCTTCACAGAGCGCCTCTCTGTGGGTCAGGCCAGCCAGGCCTTAATGGGCCCTGACCTGCCCCACTTTGTCTTTGCCCCCAGTGTAACGTCCCCGAAGGAGGGCTGGTCCCCAAGTCGCTTTATCTGGCGGAAGAGGAGCAGGAGCATGCAGACCAGCTGCGGCTGTGGAGTGAGACCTACCACTCGGCCAGTGTGCTCCGCGGGGCCCCCCACGAGGTGCCGGGCCTGGCCTGGGAGGGCCCTCTGGGCTGGGCTGTGCTGTGGGCCAAGGTCTGGTCTCCCTGAAACAGAGCCTGAGATGAGGCTTCATGTGCCGGTGTGTTGTTATGGGCGAGCTCTCAGGCATAGAGGGGGCAGGACGGGTGTGGGAAGACTCGAAGCCAAGAGGTGGTTTCAGCTGAGTCTGGAAGCTCTGGAATGTGAAGGGTGTTCCAGAGAATGGCCCTGCCTGGAGGCAAGAGGGGGCCTGTGTACCCTCACTTAGACAGTCATGGGCTTGGGTCTTCCCGGGGTGGAGCTTCCTAAGTGGTTCAGTGAGACGTGAGTCCATTTGCCCAGAGCAACTCTCAGACAGGGGGCAACTAGGAGCCTTAGCAGCACCCCCCCCCCCCGTGGGGAATGAGCACGTGGCCTAGGACAGGGGACCCCAGTGGGCACCCACAGCATCCTCTGCCACCGTCTTCCCAATCCCAGCTCTCCCCTCTATCTGGGACTTTCAGACCTGCCTGTCCCCACACAGGTGACGGTGGAGATTCTGGAAAGGGACTCAGTCATCACGTGGGACTTCGACATCCTGCGAGGAGACGTGGTGTTCAGCCTGTACCACACCAAGCAGGTGCCCAGACCAGGCCCCTGGCAAACTGGGGCCAGGGCTGGTGGGCAGCTGATCGACAGCGCCTGGGTCCTGGGCAGGGACTACAGCCGTGTGGAGGCTCCCCTCGTCTGCCGGGAAGGGGAGAGCATCCAGGTTCGTGTTCTTGGGATGATTTGTTCATTTGTCAGGCAGTCTTGAGTGTCCACTGTGTGCCAGGCTTCTGGGGATATAGTGGTGGACATAGATGTAGTCCCCAGCCTCAGGGACCCTGCAGGACAGTGGGGAGGACAGTCAATGTCTTATGTACGAAGTGCTCACCCATCAGATGGCGGCCAGGGAAGCATTCGGTGCTCTGCTGAGACGCAGCTCCTGTGCTAGGGAGAGCACCGGGTCTGGAGCCTCAGTTTCCCCATCTGAGAAATGGGAATCATCACAGGATCTAACTGTATTTGTTTCCTGAGGCTGCTGTAACAAATGGCCATAAACCAGGTGGCTTAAAACCACAGAAATATATTGTCTGACAGTTCAGGAGGCCACAAGTCCAAAATCAAGGTGTTGGCAGGGCCATGCTTTCTGGAGGCTCCAGGAAAGAGTCTGTTCCATGCCTGTCTCCTAGCTGTTGGTGGCCGCTGGAATCCTTGGCGTTCCTTGGCTTGTAGATGCATCACTCCAGTCCCTGCCCCTGTCCTTACACAGCGCTCTCCTCTGTGTGTCTTTCTTCTGTGTCTCAAATCTCCCTCTCCTTTCTCTGATAAGGACACGAGTAATTGTATTTCAGTTCCACACAACTGCAAAGACTCTATTTCCAAATAAGGTCACATTCCAAGGTGTTGGGTGGACATGAATTTTGGGGGAACATAATTCTACTAAGGCAGGGAGAAGGACAAGGGTGTTGGGATTTGAAGTCCGAGCTCTCTGTGTGAGTTGAAGTGGCTTCAGTATGGAAGAGACCCTAGAGGGGTGGCAGGGTCTCAACATTCCAGTGGAAGGAGCCCCAAGCACAAAGTTGAAGAAGGGGGGACAAGGCAGGTGGGCTTGGGGGGCAGTGTGAGTGCTGGGGAGGGGTCGGAAGTTAGTTTGGATGGGAGTGGAGCTGTTAAGGCCCGGAGGTCAGTGGGAAGATCTAGGGTCCCAGGATCCCAGCCTCAGCATCTCCTTGGACACTTGTCAAAGATGAATTTGCCGGTTCCCACGTCAAGAGGGCTAACTCCAAACCTCTGGGCCTGGGGCTTGGAATCCACATCCCTTACCCTTTCCTGGTGATTTCTGATGCACATGCACTTTCAGAACTGAGGAAGCAGAGAAACTGTAGGTCTGGGAACAGAACTTGGGTGTGTCACAGAATATGAATCATCCCTGCTGACACCCACATTCTCCACGAGGCCAGTGTTGCAGGTAGAATGTCACTCCCCACCCGCCGAATACACACACACATCCCCAGCTCCACAAGCTGCGAACCCTGCAGGTCTCACTGAAAGTTCTAGGGACACGTCACCTCCCAGCCCCCCGGATCTCACTAACGTCTCAACCCTCCCTTCCTTGCTCTCCCCTACCCCTCAACACACTCTCTCTAACCACCTGCGAGCTCCTCACCCAAATTGCTCTCCAAATCCCCTCGCTTTGCAAATCCCACTCAGCAGAACAAAAGCCCCACAAAATGCGGGTGTTTAACCAAACCACACCTCTGTTGTACTGCAGCTGCACTGCAAGCACAGGCCTCGACTCCCCCCCCCCCCCCCCCCCCCCCCCCC